GTATACAAACTGTCTTCATGTGCCTATAGCACAAAGAGAGATGCTCTCTCTGCCTGGACTCTTAGGGGAGTGCCTTGACCCTACCAAGAGTAAAATGACAGACTCTAGATATCCCCTATGTGGAAGGATTTGGCAATAGGGTGGGAGGGAGGGGGGGAAGGGGAGTGTGGGAAGAGGGGAGGGAGAGGGAACTGGGATTGACATGTAAAACAAGCTATTTAAAATTAAAATAAAAAAAAAAGAAATTCCAAATCTGTGGATGCAGCTAAGGCAAAAAACACAAGGAATTTCACAGCCTGAAATGCCTATGCTAGAAGAGAAAGACTTTAAATACATAAATTAAAGAACAAATTAAATGAATTGAAAATTTAAAGGAAACACCCAAGATCCCAATGTAGATCAATGGAACTGAAAGTAGGGAAATAAATAAAAGGTGGCCGACTAAAATCATCAAAATATCATAAACATCAGGCAAGCAAATTAGACAAAAGTAGTGACACCACTAAGTGGAATAATAAAGAACTCTCCTAAAATACCTGGTGCCAATAACTTGGGGCAATTTATTTATTTATGTTTTAATTAAAATTTTTGAGTTAAATTAAAATTATAAAACTTCCCCCTTCCTTTTACTCCCTCAAACCCCTCTCATGTTCCCCCGACTGCCTCTCAAATTGATGGCCTATTTTCCATTTTCAGTCATATATATGCAACCTGCTAAGTTGGTTAGCGTGGCTTTATATAGGGATGACCACTTTCCATTAGGTAACCAGATACAGGCAACATCTCTAGGTGAAGCTATTTCTCCCTCTCTCAGCAGTGATTTATTCTTTGTCTAGGAGTGGGACCTGGTGAATTTCCCTTTCCACATTAGCACTGAAAATTAATATGAAGTGGGCAAAACTCAGTGAAAGAACAGCTTACCAAAGTTCACTTTAAAAAAATCATTTGAATAGCCCTAAAGCTATTATACAAATTAAATTTTTAGTTAAAAACTTATAATAAAAATTATAGGCTTCTATGAAGAATTCTATTAATCATCTAGGGAAAATCATATTACTTCTATACAAGCTCTTAGAAAAAAAGGAGACTGGAACACTGCCCTACATATTACTCAAATATCCAAACCACAAAACTACAGATAAATATTCCTCATGCACATAGAAAATTATTCTAATTTAACATATCAGTCCTGGCAATACCTGAAACTAATAAAATATCATGATTAACTGATTCTAATCTCAAGAACACATCATTTAAAAATCCACAGACATTAATATATTCAGATGAAAAGCAAGGAGTTAAAGTCCTACATTCGTTCTCATTTAAAAGAGAGGGGAAAACTCCTTTGTGTGTGTGTGTGTGTGTGTGTGTGTGTGTGTGTGTGTGTGTGTGTGTAAGTGCATAATGTGTGCACAAGTACCTGTGGAGAACAGAAGAGGGTGTCAGAGCCCTTGGAACTGGAATTACAGTTTCCAGCTGCCTGAAGTGAAGTGTATGCTAGGAACCAAATCCAGGCCCTTTGCAGGAGTAATAAGTGTTGTCTCTCTAGCTCCAAGAACCATCTTCATAAGAAGCAATTGATTAAATCACTTTTCAATGCAGACAAGTGCTGACAAAAGTGGAGTAAACTGGAAGGAATCTGATGTGTCCATGGAAACCCTCAACTAAAGCGATAATGTTGAGATTCCATCATGTGACATTTTTGTCAGATTCTCTTTATAGTATGTTATTTTGATATAGTCAACTTTATTAAGGTGAAGTTTACTTGTTTTATGTATACATTTCAGTTTCTTTAAAAACACGTAGAGTATGCTAAAGTCTTTATGATAAAGGACCCCCGCAAGTTTCCATATAGCCTGTTCCCGCTCTTAATCTTCCACCCCAGTCCTTGAAAGCCACTAGCATCCATCCAGTCACTCCAGATCTCCTCTAGAGTTCATGAGTGGGATCACATGGCATGTTTTCTTCTGGCCTGTCTTTCTTTATTCACCATAATGGAGCTAGCTTTCTTCTTGAATTGTGTGGAAACCAAATAATGTCATCCATATCCTGAGTTAAAATTCAAATGACCATTTATCCATTCATTATGTGAAAGAAATCTGGGGTAATTTCCATCTTGTAACTATATGAGTAACACTGCTGCTGATGTGTACGTGTTTGCATTTCTTTTGGGGAACACCTGGAGGGGATATGACCTATCGCATCATTAGATACATGTTTAACTTCATTAAAGACAACAACATTTCAAAGGATAATTTCCAGTTATTGCAGCTTCCCAACAACAACAACAACAAAAAATCTGAGTTCCAGAGTTCCAGTTGCCACACAAGGTTCATAAACCTTGCAAGTCATTTTTTGTTGACATTCATGTTATGCATTTTGTTGTAGAAACTTCAGGGACTATGCAGTGCTTGTCTCTTGGATCTCAGGAACAGTTCCATTAAATTAATGATCATGAATATTTGAGTGTTACTTAAATATGTATTTTTGGTAATGTGTCTGTTCAAACGTATTTTATATCCGGATGGAGATATAGTTCAGTGGCAGAGAGCTTATCTAGCAGAAGTGGATTCCATTTCTAGCACTGAAAAATGTGTACAACACATTTATGTATGTATTTCCACTGCTTAGAATGGATATGTATATATGTGCACACACGGTTGTCTTATTTCTGTGTGGTAGTAGAAGCTCTATATAAGCTGATCAAAAAGGCTTTTACTAGAAATGCTTTGACCATCTATTTTCTTGATACTGAACTTTCATTAGAACTTTCATTAGAGAATGTCTTTTGCAATAGTTCATATTTTCCTAGTCAGAATGATCTATAGGGAAAACAAATAAAATAACAACAAGCCAATGCTGCTGAGTATGTGGGGAAAGGGAGTAAGTTTGCACTGCTCATGGGAATACACACTGGTACAGCCACTATGAAAATCAGTAGAAGCTTCCTTAAAAAGCTGAACATGTATCTACTGAGAGATCTATCTATGCCACTTTTGGGCATATACCTAAGGTCTCTATGCCTTACCACAGGGATATTGGCTTTTCCCTGTTCATTGTTGCTTTATTCATAATAGTCAGGAAATGGAAAAACAGAGATGGCCATCAACTGATGAATCATTAATTAAATTTGGTACAGTTATATAATGAAATAGTATTAGGGTGGTAGAGAAACGAAAAATCATAATATTTTCAAGTAAATGAGTGAACCTAGACATGATTATGCTGAATGAGGTAACCAGGCTCCAGAAAGACAGAAATGACATGTCTTCTCACATGTAAATGTTAGATTTCTCTTAAGTTTTAGTGAGAGCATTTTATTTGGAATACCCACACAGCTTAGGCAACTAGGAAAGGGCCATAGGGAAGAGGGGATCATTCAAGGAAGGGGAAATAAAATGCAGTGTTTTAAAGGGAGAAAGTAGAAAAACAGAATGGGAAGAATTAAATCCCCCCTTCCCCATCTTCACCCACTCCCTTCTTCATTTAATCCTGATTACTACCTATTCCTGGCACACTCCTACACAGAAAAGGGGAGGGGGACACACAGTTTTGCTAACTCATCTTTCAGCCATGGATTCCTAATTATGCTATTTTCCCCAGTTCACTTACTGTCCTTAACATTCATATCACATACGTTCATCATCTAACAATCCTGTATGGTATTTTCCACCCCAAATTGTTTCCTCTATGACTGTGAGAACAACAGCTTCTGAAAATGCCCACTACTGTGTTTGCTTACTGGCTTATGCTATTTGGAATAAAATGTCCAGCTCTCAGCAGATGCCAGCACTCCATACGTGCCCTAAGACTCATGGCATTCTCTTGTGCCTAAACACAGGACTCATTTTAGTTCATCCTGGGCCAAAATCATTAAGTCCTTTCTCCACTTCATGACCCTTACCTCAACATGAATGTACTTCTCCTACTATAAAAATAGAATGAAATTAAGCCGGGCGTTGGTGGTGCACGCCTTTAATCCCAGCACTTGGGAGGCAGAGGCAGGCAGATCTCTGTGAGTTCGAGGCCAGCCTGGTCTACAAGAGCTAGTTCCAGGACAGCCTCCAAAGCCACAGAGAAACCCTGTCTCGAAAAACCAAAAAAAAAAAAAAAAAAAAAGAATGAAATTAAAATAACTATGATTGAGACCATGTCTGTGATAACTACTACCTGTTTTCTTTTAGAGTAGTAATCCTGGAAAGAGCAGTTTCAAAATCTATTCTATGAAACCCAAGCCAATCATGCTGTATCTCTTATTACTTCATCAAACCTTCTTCTAAGTCCAGAGGGGAGAAATGCTCTTGTCATTTTTATATTTCCATGGTCTAAAATTAATTTATCTCATGAAGATGTTAAACTCTTAGTAGTGTCATAACTCACTTGTTTTACAAATTAAAACTTTTAGACTTATTTTCAAATTTTTATTATGTATGTGTGTTTTGTGTACATGTATGTATGTATGAGCACTGTGTGTATGCCTTCTGCCTGTGGTGGTCAGAATGTTCGGATCCTATAGAACTGGAGTTATAGATGGTTACAAGATACCAGATGGGTACTTGGAAATGAACCTGGGTCCTCTACAAGACCAAGTTCTCTTAATTGCTAATCTATTTCTCCCCTATCTTGGGCTTTTTTATTGTCACATATATTCATGTGCAGTGCTTAAGCTGCCTATGTCAACAAAAAATAAAACAGACTTCTTTAACACCTGGGAAACAGAGAATGGGTATGACTCAGGATGACTCACTTAGACTATTCTAATGAAGTGTAAATACTTCCTTGAGAGTTACTGTGTAATACCTTGACAGATAATTTAGATACGTATCACAAGACTCCTAACTACAAATGTTGTGTTTTGAAGTTCTGGAGATGGAGCCCATAGCCTTGTGTACACTGCAAAGCATTTAATCACTGAGCTATTATGTGTCTATGTACTAAACATAAAAATTTGGAAACAGATGGTCAAAGATTTACATACTAATAAAGTCCTTACAAGATAGTTTATATCATAAAATTTTATTTATAATTAAATACTGCAAAATATATGAGTTGGTTCTTCACAAATAAGAGACAAAGTCTGTCCCAAGAGCTCACACTTACTTACACAGTGGATGCAAGATAGTATTCATTCAGGCTATTATTCTTAAAATAAAGAGAAGCATGAATCACAAGGGTAGCCACACAAAATATATCTTATGTTTTCTTCCATGAAACTAATGTAAGTCATTCTAAGACATGTCTTACTTAATCTTAATCTTGTATTGTTTTTTTTTTTTGGTTTCTTGTTTTTTATTTTTTTTAATTACATTGTTTTGGTGGGGACAGGTGTGGAGGGCAGGGGGTAACTCGTGGGAGTTGGTGCTCTTCTGCTACCATGTAGGTCGTGGGGATCTAACTTGGGCTATTAGGTTTGACCTCAAGCACCTTTATCTGTTGAGACATCTTGCCCAACCTTATCATTTTTTAAACTTACTTATTTTATTTATTTATCTTAAGTTTTTGAGGTAGGATTTCAGAACGTGGGTCTAGTTGGTCTGAAAGTTGCATTGACAGTCTGCATCTTGTTTCTTGAGAAACAAGGGATCACAGGTGTGGACAACCTTCTGTTTCTACTTTGTCAAAGAAAAATCAAAACCACCTGGTTCCAGATGACATCACTGTTTGCCAAATGTAACTGTCATAATTTAGATATTACCTAAATTTCCAATAAGTTATCCATCGCCAATGATGTAATGATTTCTATCTGCAATGCAAGAGCTTTCCCATGAAAAGGGGTTCCAGCCTCTCAACCGTCAGAGCATCACCCAGGAACACACAGCAGCTGGAACCTTCAGCTTGCGTGCTGGCTCCACACAGGCCTTCAGCAGACAAAGCACGCCTTGGGGTCATCTTCTACTCTCCTCACTCACTCGGCGGGAGCCAAATGTGCAATGTTTCTAATTAACTTGCTCAATTTACCTGCCTCCAATTTACAATGCCCTTTAACAACACCATTACTGGAAAGCTACTGTTGGCATGGATGGTACAAAACCTGGTTTGGGAAGAAGCATATTTTAAAGGTCTAAATGTCCCTAGATTAAAAACTGTACAGCACCTGTTGCCTCAAATGCTGATGAAAATAAATTCGTGCATGACTGGTTTTGGTAGAAAATAGAAAATAGTAGTATTAGTTTAAAATGTATGGTCATGTAAGCAAAAAACACACTATAACCTATGTGATTTTTTAAAAAACTGAAATTGGTAAACTAGTAAAATACTTGAGCACTGGCTTTCAAACAGTAAATGGACAGTCATAAAAAAAAACCAGATCCTCACATCTTAATCCTACGTGCACAGAGACTTCTGTTTAAATAAAATGTAGTGTGAATCATTTCAACTTAGAAATCTATTCTTAATGTTTTCAAGTTCAGTACAAATCAAATCTATCACCAAGAAATAATAGCAAAATGCTTATCAGCATGAGGGAGACGATCTGTCTTCTAAATGTGCCATGTGAACGCTGTATTTCCAAGGAAAAGCTAGAAATTAATATCAGTATAACAAGCGCCTCCTAGAAAGACAATTGTGTCTGAGAACAATGTCCTGGTAGAACAATGTCCTTTGTGCCTCCACAGGGGAAATAAGCAACTGCACTGTTGTCTGTGTTTTTCCATATGTGTAGTAATAAAAAGGAAGAAAATAGGCTTTTGCCCATCTCTATGGACTCTTTACAGTACATGAACCTTTTGTCCATCCTTCCTTCTTTCCTTCCTTCCTTCCTCCCTCCCTCCTTCGTAAACAAAATTGCTTTTTTTCCCCTAAGATTAGTAGAAAGAATATTACCCCACAGTAGAGATGATGTAGGTTGGGACATTTCACTCTGTGCCACTCTGACTCTCCCAACAGACATGTGATACACTTTGACTCTATTTGTCTCACATGCATTTCTTTTCCTATTTTTGGCATATTTTACAGTTCCTGGCGCATCTACAGTGTGCACGTGGAGGTCAGAGCCTAGCTCCTGAGAGTCAGTTCTGTTCTTTCACAATGTGGGTATGAGGGGTTGAAATCAGGTGTCAGGCTTAGAGTTTTTCGTCACTGAGCCATGTCGGCGGCTCCTCATCCTGACACTAGTTTCTTATAATCCCCACGCCTTTCACCCTGCACATCCTCTTATTTTCATGCCCTACCCCCCAGCTTCCACAGAGGAGACAAAACATGTGATGCCTGTCTTTAGGGTCTGGCTTTTATCACCTAACATACTCTCCAATCCCAAAGTCCTGCAAATGCTTAATTTCACTCTTTATGGATGAGTAAAACTGTTGTGCACATATACTATGACTACCTTGACTGATTCCATAACCTGCTTATTTTGGATAGTGCATGATAAACATAGATGTGCCGGGATCTCCATGGTAATCTGACATACATTTATTTATTTATATTAGGTACATTGTATGGCTAAGTTAACCTAGGTAACCTGACATAAAGTTGTCTGGATGGACATTTTCCTGATGGATAAAGGCAGTGAGTTTTTATTGATCCATTCTCAGTTTTCATGTCTGCTCACTTCCTTGCCCCTTTGTTGACCAAAGTCTTTTTGTTCTTTTATTATTTCGTAGTTTATTTGGTTCAACATGTATTCTAAATATTAGCCCCTTATCATGTGAATAATTGGGACTATTTTCCCCGATTTGTATCCTGTCTTCCTTTTCTTTTACTTTACAAGTATGTGGTGCAATTTGTCTCTGCTTACCTATTGCAGATCAAATGTTTTCTGCTAGTAGTTTCAGATTCTTAGGTTTTACATTGAGGTCTTTGATCCTTTCGTAAGTCAAACATAAATAAAAACTAAAATCTAGGACTGCTCCTGAAAATGTAAAGAACACGGAACTTGCAAACATGAACTCACTTCATTGCACGAACTGCGCCAACAGCAACACGAATATATTCTGCTCAAAACCTCTCAGTACTGATTTACAATGCATGGACACAAAAAGCACATGTTATCGATGTAGACAGAACACAATCAAGTCGCCCTGTCTACCTTAAAAATGAATAAAACATTAAGTTGGAGCACCTCTCGTGGTCTATGTGCTCTGCACTCTGATGCTGCGCATGTCTCTTAGCAGCACTGGTCGGTAGTTTTGCTCCAAGGTCTCCATGTATTCAAAGTAGCTGCTCACTCGAAACCCACGCAGTGCTTCTTCCTGCCCGGGAAATATGAAGGGAGGTTCATTTACTTACAGAAAGATGCACAACTCCCAGTGAATAATGTTTAAGTAACTGAAGTATCATTTGTTTTCAGCTCTGGATGCTGGAGCAGTGTACATGGCTAGTAAATGTGGAATTGCTTTTCATTTGGGGAGCTGTGTCTGTATCTGTCAGCAATGAATCATGACCTTGTGGAGCAAGGTGATTTTAAAAAACAAGAATGCTTTACAGCTAGCAGTAGAAACTCTTCCTAAAATTTTACATCCAGTTAAATAGTTTAAATAGGCAACTAGTAAAGTCCCTGAATTCTATCTACCTAAGGATGCTGCTCACAAAGACCTCCATCAGCCTGTGGTTCACAATGCTGGCACTAGGCACACGAACAGTCATTTTTTTCTTTAATGGTTAATGTCCCAAATGAGACAGTCAAGAATAAATGCACGAATATCTATCCATTATTTTAATGCCTTTAGGGGAAGCAGTTGACTATGCTTTTCAGCACTCTCAAATATCATCTAACGTAGTATCTACCTGGAAGGTTTCTTAAAAATCTTCAGAATAGTTGTTCTCAACTCAACACAACTACAATAGCTTTGGAGGACTTAAAATTTTGGACAATTCATGCCTTTTACAAGTTTATAGTTTAAAGTTAAAAAATGAGTAACAAGGCCGGGTGGTGGTGGCGCACGCCTTTAATCCCAGCACTCGGGAGGCAGAGGCAGGCGGATCTCTGTGTGTTCAAGGCCGGGCTGGACCGATAACCTCCGAAACAATACAGAGAAACCCTGTCTCGTAAAACCAAAAAAAAAAAAAAAGAAAAAGAAAAAAAAAGAGTAACAAACACGACAGCAATCCAAAGGAATGAAAGGCCATGCATATTACATGCTAGTTTGTTAGTAGTGACAAAAGAGAGGTATCAACGTGAGGTAGCTAAAATGACATGCAAATTTTCACATAAACGATGATTTTTAAAGCTTTACACGTACTCATAGATATAATATATAACCTCATATATACTCATTTATGAGTAATAATTCATATCATGCAAATAGTTATGTAGAACTTTACTGTTAGTGTGCCATGTGTCAGTTAAAGTCCACAAAATTTGAAGGAAAGATGCAACCTAAAGTATATTACTGATCGCTAAGGTTGACAGATGCTGAAGAAGCTAAATGGTGTGTACTGATGGCATCCACCATTATCCCATCCACACAAACTCCCACACGACTTCCGCTTTTCACTTTAAGGGAAAAGACTCTGTCATCCACTCTCTCCCCGTTCACTCTTATGTTCTATTAGCACATGGTAAGTTCTTGGCTGTTCACACAAGACACAACAGTGACTGAGGTAAGGATTGCATCCTAGACTGTTAATAGCCAAGGTAAACCATGTCCTCCCATTAATAAACATGAAGCTTCTCTTAGAGATAGTATGCTGCAATGAAATACCACAACCAAAGCAACCTGAGGAAGAAAGTGTTTATTTGGCTTATTCTTCTCCTAAGTGAAGACAATCAGGACAGGAACTCAAACAGAGCAGAGGTAGGAGCTGATACCAGAGGTAGGAGCTGATACAGAGGCTATGGAGGAGAGCTGTTTATTGACTTGCTTCACATGGCTTGCTCTACAGAGTGAGTTCCAGGACAGCCTCCAAAACAATACAGAGAAACCCTGTCTCAAAAAAAAAAGAAGAAAATGCCTTGCATCTGGCATTTTCTCAACTGATGCTCCTTCCTCTTATGACTCTACCTAGTGCTAAACTGACATAAAACTATTCAGCACATAACTGAACCCAAGAGAAAATGTTCACATGGGTTCACTTTTGTTTTTATTTTTTGTTTTTTGTTTTTTGGTTTTACGAGACAGGGTTTCTCTGTATTGTTTTGGAGGCTGTCGGTCCAGCCCGGCCTCGAACTCACAGAGATCCGCCTGCCTCTGCCTCTGCCTCCCGAGTGCTGGGATTAAAGGCGTGTGCCACCACCGCCCGGCTGTTGCACCCACTTGTAATCCTTGTCCTTTATAGACTGTGGTAAAGGATAGTAGATTCCGTGCCACCTGGGGAACATAAAGAAGCCCTGTCTCAACAAAGAAAACAAAACAAATAGGTGTTCACTTGATTAATGGTAAAATATTGGGTCTTCATAAGTTTCTGTCTATCTAAAATATTTGTTTACAAGGGGGGAAAGGAACAAAGTGAAACCAGACTTACCGGACACCAATTCACTGTAAATAGTTATTGTTGCAATTATAGAACTCTTAAGAACTTATCCTTTTTCTTTAAATTTATATGTGACTTGGCTTTGATCATTTCCACTCTAAAAGTATCCCTAAGCTGGAAGGTAATTATAGTAACATCTTTCCTAACAGAGAAATTCCAGTGCTGTGAGAGCTGCTTCAGGATGCATGCATTCACGATTTTCAAAGAAAAGCTTATTATTCATTAAATGCAAATTACAATGAGACATAGCAGAACTTGAACAATAGGTCTAATTATACTTTCCTCGCCAAAAAATCATCAAAATCTATTTAACATCTTTTAATTATTGTTCTACTTTCACTTAAACATAAAAGTACATAGGGAAGTCACAGTTAATACTTGGCTTAAATATATTTCTTTTAAAAATATAGTATTTTCAAAAACTGGTTCCTCTTTTAGATATTAAGGTTAAATATTCTTGTACCTACACTGAAGAGATATCATAACACTAGTATAAAAGGGTACTGAGGTTGCATGTTATAAGGAAAAGACATAACTATACATTTTAAATTCAATTGTAAATGGTATTGTTCACTTTAAAATTTTGGCAGGCAATTTTATTTCTGAATAAAAAAATTTAAATTACCCAAGCTTCACTTTTAATCTTTCAAGTAGAATATTTTTCATCTCATCCTAGACATTCTCTAACCCTCTCCTCAGGGGATAGATAGTCTTACTTGTGATTATGACCATTTAGATTGTTAGGCTATCATTCAAGTTGTAACTAGCCATTTCCTCAGAGTATGGTTTCACTATAGTCTCATTTGCATATCTAAGTCTGTTTCAATCTCCCTGTCTATGAATATGGAAGCATGTGTATAGTTTTTTTTTAAACAGTTTTAACATTTTTTGTAACAATAGTGAAATAGTTGCTCAAGAAAACACTTTAATACTGCAATAATTTAAATTGGGTTACAATGTTCACTGAGAGAATGCTACATTTTGTATTATGTCTAGTTGCTATTCAGCTTGCTTTCAATGATTACTTTTCTCATTAACTATGGGTTTTAGCATTAGAATTTCACATTCCTAACCACAGAGCTGTGTGTGTTATTCCATGATACGACGCAAACACAGCTTCCTTCTTTCCTTTAGATAGAAATGTTAAATTCTAAGGGTTTTTTTTTTTTTTTTTGGAGAACATTTGATCAGGGTCCAGGGAATTTAGAATATTATTTAAAAGGTAACTATATTAGTTAACCAGGGACAATTTTAGTTAATAGGATTTTGATTCAGCCAAGAAAGGCTCAAACCTCTCCACACTAATTCTTAGCTTATGAACTTAGGTAAGCTTACTGACTGTAAATTTTGATTTTTCATGTGTCAATGGGGACCACAATACTGGGGCTGTTCTGTGGACTACATATTCTAAAATTTGAAGTCTTACCACAGACACTTCTATGGTCTCTGTCCCATCTCTTCCCACCCTTATATGCTCAACCTCTTCTGTCCACAATACTTCTCCTGATGCTGTAGGGCAGTGGTGTTTCAACCTGAGGGTCACAACCCCTTTGGGGTTGAATGACCCTTTCATGGGTTACCTATCAGATATCCTGCATATCAGATATTTACATTAGGATTTATAACAGTAGCAAAATTACATTTATAAGTGTCAACAAAAATAATTTAAAGGACGGGGGTCACCATTGCATGAGGAACTGCATTAGGAAGATTGAGAACCAGCTCTATGGGGATTCTTGCCTCTGAGCTTTGCAGCTGCCTCTCTATGCTTTTATGAAGGCTTTTCCCCCAGAGATGTTTATAATGCATTTCTTTTAAAGCGTTCATTGCCATTCTTATCCTTTTGAGTGGCCCAAACAATTTCTCTGGCTCCCTCACCATGTCACGGTGTCTTTCAGTCAGACATATAATGTCAGAAATATTATCTATTTGTACTGTTTCTCTCAGCAGAACTTAAGGACCATGTGGGGCACGGACATTCTATCATGCCACTACAACAGTGCTTGGGATACAGCTGTTACACAATAAGTACTGGAATAAGTCAGAGTGAGTAGACAATGCCTCTACAATCCTTTGTCCATGGCCTTGCATTCAGCAAACACTTAAAGTGTTAATGGTGGCTATAACAACATCAACAGACAGTCTTTATAAAGGCCGGGATACCCTCTTCTGAGCACACATCAGACACAGACAGGGAAAAGTGAGGGTGATACATCAAGGATTATTGACTTCAGCTTTTGCTCCTTAACTCCTTGTCAGGAATATAAGTTACTACCCACCACGGATACTCAGACATCACTGGCTTTTCTTACAAATCATCTGGGATAAGCCTATGAGAAAAGGCAAGTTATGTCTCCATTTCTAAAAATGTATGGGTTATGGTTTTCAAAGATACTAGAGACTTATGTGTCAAAAATGTTTTTCAGCACCCAAAAGTCCATTACGCTTAATATTTTGCTTTAGTTAAGTAGACACAAGGTATAGAAAGATCAGTGTGCTGACATGGCCACCCTCCTGGTTTTATGATTTTATGACTGAGTCTATTCAGTCCCAAACATCTGACTATTAATGTGTTTGCAAGATTATGGTAACTTTTCAAAAATTAATTTATAGAGAAAAAAATCTTGGGTGGGTTAAAATGGAAGAGAGGTAATTTACTAAAACTGTAAAATTTAGCAAAGACTACTTAAATGATTTGCATTAGTGTCAAATCTCATAAAAAGCACTCAAGAAGTGTTTTATTTGGTATAAATACTTATTATTAAAAATATACACCATG